AGGTACCACACCTGAGACTAAAAAAAACAAAATCAGTTACAGGAAAAACTGAGATTGACATCAAATCTACTAAAAACCATAAGAAAATTGCACTACCATTGCCTGTGGTGGCCACATGCATATTGTGACTGGTTGTTAACAGAATTACTGTAATAAATAAAGGGTGTTGGGAAAAATCAGTAACCATCCAAGTTTGTATTGGTATATGTGTTGTAGCTTAGACACAGGCAAAACAACAAAATGTCACTGTAAATCACAAACACTACCTTCAGCCACAGTTGCAACAGAAGATTTAGAATTTACATAAAATCTAAAGAAAAAACCCCACCTGATTAAAAAGTCCAATGGATCAAATCTCTGACCTTTGCCACCTTCTACTACAGTTTCTAAGACAGAAATGGCTTCACCTTCAGAAGTTGGTTTTGGAGGAGAAAAGAATAACAAGTTCTGTTTCAAACAAGAATTAAGTACAGCAGGTATGACAAGGGGTTTTGTGGGTTAACTCACTGGCTCACATATCAGGTTACTTTTCCAATATGCTTATTTTCACCAGCAGTCTGACCAAGTTATTTGACTTTATCAGCAGCTTACACGACTTACTGTCATAATGTACTACAATATATCAGATTAGTTCACTTATTTTATCTGCAGCTTTCATTCATAACTGATTGACCTGTAGAAAGCAAGCCTGCCCCAGCTATCTTTTAATCAAAACACAACGTTCATCTGTTAATCCAAAATAGGAATTTCTTACAAATTATAGATCAGTTGTATTAGTTGTTTTATTCATGCAATCCAACTACGCATATATTTCTAAAATATAATCAACAGAAGTCTTGCAGAATTATAGCAAATCAAGCTTGTTACACCAGGATTAATAACAAGCACCCAGGTATTTCCAACACTTCACAACACCACACCTGAAAAACAAACAAAACTTATCCATTCTTTAACAGCAACTAATTTGTCCTTTTAAACTAGGGACCAGTGTGTGGTGAGAAAAAAGCATCACAAGCATTCCTTCCTCCTAAATCAGATTTCACAGATATATACAGTCTTAAGAGCCATGTAGACATACAATTGATCTTCACCTACTTAATGGGGGCCATTAGTCTGAATCTCAAATCACTGGCAGGTTGGAGGGGGAGGGGAGGTGTTTGCAGATGTTTATTTAAGCTTAAATTCAAAAGAGGGGGCTCTAAAATAAAAAAACAATGAACACAGTCTTACTCCTACTAAGAAAAAGAAAGCACTTCCCTTTAGCACGCTTGCAAAAATATCACAAAAATAAAACAGCTTAATGGGAACGATATTAAAGCAAGCTTCACTTCTCTAATTGCCATCAAAACCACTGAAAGTCTCTGTAAGAGGCATCAACACCCAAAGAAAAAAAGAACTACTTTTTAGGAATCTGAGCACAGTGTGATTTTCAGTCCTAGATAGCTCAAAGGAATAAGTACCTCCTCTTTCCATGTTTCCCTTTAAAAGGTGATCTCTGGTCAGTTAAAAAAAAAAAAAAAAAAAAAAAGCTTTAAGTATTGTTTGTCCTAGAAGTTACAAGACACTTGAATTATACCAAGACCACAATTAAAACAAAGAACTCAGAAATTAAATGCCTGTACTTCATCACTGATCTTGACATAGTTTTTCTACAATACTTAACACTGTCCCAGAACACAACTAGTAAAGAAGTTTGTCACCTCTCACTCCTGCAGAGTAATCACCCTAGGTCAAGGCTTAGCTCATAACTTTTCCAGAATTAGGGCATATAATTCACTATCCAGTAAAGTTCTACAAGTATAAATGTTTTCAATGAAAATCCACAAATATATACTACTACCATTCCAAGGGGAACTCAGCTGAGGTTTTAGCTTGTCTGACGGTTGCAGTGTTATACTGAGGATTGGTATTTATACAAGGATACACCATATTGGTAAAGAAATTTGAGGAGTCACACTGTTTCTCTTAAAGAAATAACTACTCTGGCATTCTCTCTTTTTCTAAAACATCCAAGGGAAGAAAGGGAAGCATTACCTACAAACAGGACATGCCACATTACTTAGCAGTGCTCTAAGACCTTACAAAAAAATGAAAGCTTTATTATTCAACAGAAAATCATTCTACTCATTCAGGAAAAGCAAGGACAAAGTAGGATGAGATGCTCAGGCTGTGCTCCCCACAGTTAAGTTTTAGGCACCTAAATGTCTTTTAAGACAAGCTTCAGGGAAACAACTATCTTAAATATTTGTAAATTTTTAAAAATTTAAATATCAACTACATTGTAAGAGATTTGCTGTCTTACTGTTGCCATTAACTTACACCTGATGTACTTTCAGAGAGGAAGAGAAAGAATCATTTATTTCGGGAGAAAACCTAAGACTTTTTCAAGTATGTAACAATTACATTTGCTACATAGCTTCATTCATTAAATTAAATGTGATAGTCTCTGGAAAGTTTGAAATATTACTCAATTGCGGAGTTTTAGGATGCTTTTAAAAATAAAAATCCTTGAGTGTTACTAAAATGCAGTGTCATTTGGACTCTCAAAGTAACAGCCCTGACAACCTAAGAGGCTAACAGGGGATGTCACTGCAACACTTCAAGCCACTGCTTCACTTCTCTACTGGCATTCTAAACACTTATTTTCATTAACTAAAACACAAACATCACATTGTTGTATCCAAAGGATCAAAAATATCATTTCACTGTATTCAAACAAGATGAACCTACATAAAAACTTTTATTAAAAAACCTACTTTGGTTTCTCTTTTGTAGTAAGTATTCTCTTTAGGGAATGACACAAAGCATCTGTTTTAAAATTGCACTTATTTCCTATTACAGTCTAAGCTTAAAGGTCTCTGACACAGCTATTAGGTGGACCCTGTGATAATGTAATAATACACTGAAGTCACAAAACACACGCAACATGTAAATACACAGTTACTTGCTTTCCAGAGGCATGGATAAAGTTTCAACACAAGAAAATTCTAGTTGTCAAACCTTTGAGATCTACACAGTACTAGAAAATGGCATTAAACTCACATTTTCCTTAAGTACTACACTTTCAAATAGCATGTCCTTGAGTCAGGAGCATTTAACTATTTGGCATTTTACAGAAGTTCTCTCCCTTCATACAGGGGGCTAGGAATTTCTTCAACTGAACATCTAGGCTTGATTTTCTTAAACAAAAACAACACAGTCATTCATTTTTAATATAACAAATATACAATGTTCACGTCAGTATGGCTAGAGACACTCAACACCTCACTGTACTGTGGCTAATAGCCTAAGACAGAGAGGAAAAACATGGTTAAAGTTAGCAAAATGCACTATAAAGATCAAAACAACACATCTCTAACTGATCTGAATACCTTCTGAGAATATGCACAAATAAAAGATTACAATACTCTGAGAACATGGAGCCTACACTGAAACACTAAGAGCCAGTGAGATGAACACTATGTATCTCAGATGCATCCTACCTGATCCACTGAACTGGCTGCTTCCTAGTGTAGTTGGTCTGGTTTTTCCACTATTTACAGGTGGGGAAAACATCTGCAAAACAAGAAAAAAGAGACATGTTTTAGTTGGTTTTGAAAGTCTGTGCTGAATTATTAATGTAAATAGAAAAAAGATTAGTAGGAAACAATTTTTTTCTATTTCTTCTTGAAAACAATGCAAGATGCATGTTTAGACACACCAAACCAATAAGCTGAAGTACTCCTTGCAATGTAGTAATATGACCAAAACCTCATTTCTACATGAACACAAACAACTTCAAACTAAAAAGACACCTACTACTACTGTGACTGTTTCAAATAGTTACATGACTTATATTTTTTTACTCAAATTATATTTCTTACTCATCTGCAAGCATAAAGCCACTGCACAAAGACAGCATGTAAGATGCAGTAATATTCTATTATATTTAAAAATCAGAAGCCTTTTTGGTATGGTAAAAGTAACACACAGAAAATACCTAAAATTTTCTTAGCCAAGACCATCAATTAATAACTTATTTTATTCGTAGGAAATAAATTTTCTTTTGTTTAAATAAGGAAAAAAAAAAAAAAACACCCAAGAGCCAAGGTACCAGTGCCACATGCCAGCTTAACCAATGTTAATTATTAGATTATGCCACCACTGGGTCAGCCTGATTTTAACCAGTTAAACCAATTGACCCAGCTGGTATTACAGTATTAAATCTGGAAGTCTAGACATTACATCAAAGTTCAGGTGTCCAACTTGGCTGAGGCAGACCCAGCCAAGCCCTGCACGCTGCTGCCCCTGCTCCTCACTTCGCACGACCACGGAGAAGTCATGAGAAGACCTCAGAGAATATCCTACCGCACTGAAGTCCAGCAAGTCGCTCAATTCCTTGTCAGTTCCTATAGCGGCCATCCTCTGCTGCTGGGAATTCATCTTCCTCCGCTCCTCCGATCACCTTTCTAGGCACAGGGAGAGAGGCACGGGCAGCACTTCACGGCGCGAACCCGGCCCAGGCGAAGAGCGGCCTCTGGTACCTGCACCCCTGCGGCGGGGTGGAGACTCGCGGGGGAGCCGCGCTTGGCCGGGCGGGCTGAGGGAATCGGCAGCCGCAGCTTCCCCGAACTAACCAACTCTCTTCAAGTTTCCTCAGGCTCCCTCCTCTCCCTCATTCCACTTCTCCCCCAATCTCGAGCAAGGCACGGTCACGCCGCAGAAGGGCGGCCGCCAGGAATTAAGTCCCCCCCCAGGCAAGAGAAAGCAAATAAACAGCCGCGGCCCGGCGAGGTCCGGAGAATTAGCGAGAGATTAAGTGACTCACTGTCCCCGCAACAATGGGGCTGACGAGCGGGGCCGGACGAGCCTCAGCAGAGCCATCTCTGCCCCGACATTATCGCCCACCGCCGGTGCCGGCTCCCCCTCCCCCTCTCTCCCGACCCACCCACCGGGGGCCGCGGCCGCCGCTCCGCGCTCGGGACCGCGGCGAGAAAGAAT